CGCCATTGTTCGCCATGACGCGGCCGGCGATCATTTATCAATGCGAATAATAACGGCAAGACTCTATGCGCCCGCTCACACGACCGTTTTTACCCCCCTCCTCTCCCATGCGCACACCGAACCACGGATATACGCGTACGCGCAGGATACGTGTACACGTGTGCGATGCTTATAATAAAAGCCGATATTCCACACGCTGAGGAATAGCGATTCCGGAGGCGGTTCAATGCTTGAATGCATGGAATTGAAAATAATGGCGGAGTGGGCGTTCATTGTGCTCGGTGCCCGAGCTTTTTGTCGCTAGCTCTCTCTCCCTCTCTCTCTCGCTCTCGCTTTCTGCCCGATTTTGACGTGGCCGGCCGAGCCACTACACGTCTCGCGAAACGTTGCTCGCAAAAGGAACGGAGAAACTCTGAAAAAAGGAACCAACGACTCGAGATATATCCGCTCTCGAAACCGGAAACGTAATGGGCCGGTTTAGCTGGTGGATTCTCGCGGCTTTCTTTGAAATTTTTTAACATATATATACATATATATATATATATATATATATATTAAAAAATTGGTATTATTTGCGTTTTAATAAACAGAAGTTATAATTGTGGAGAGCAGTATCATAAACTTGCTAGATTAAAGAAGTAAATTTTTATGTAACTTGTTTAACGTTGAAATTGGATGGCGTCTGGTGTCACGGTGGGACATCGACGGAGGTCTTCCTTTATTTTTCTCGTTTCAATTCCTTCTTTCATCGCGTGGATAAAAGTCGAATCGTAAATGTAAAGAAAAGAATTTATCGACGGCCGTAAGCCGATTGTTGGAGTGGCTGACGGAAGTCGGGGAATAATTATAATTTAAGGGAAATAATTTTTGGCGGCATTCCAGTGATATTGGTCCCGAGTTGTAAAATCTAAATCTTAATGCTCTCGCTCGAATATTTTAGAATAGCGGTCGCGTGTTATCACGTCGATAATGAAAACCTAGACTTTGAAAATTAAATTTTCGATCTAAAAGAGATTTAAAAGGAAGATTATATATTGATTATAATTATATTTATTACATTTCTCATTCATTAAGAAAAGCGTTTAATTACGAGAAATTAAAAATCTTACATGAATATTTATACGAAACAAGAAAATATTTTTTAAACGAATTCAGGTTTCATCATTATGGAAAATAATCCAAAGGAAATAGACCGTAAAGATATTTTTTAAGCAAGAGATTCATTATATATAATTCTTATCTTAATTAACGCGTGAATGAAACTTCTTTTATTGCCAATTTCCTAAAAATTAATTCGCTAAATATCAGACGATTGCTTGTTTAATATTTGTTTCATGATATTCATCGTTTCAGGGAAAATCAGTGGGGAAATTTATTCGAAGGAACGTGTTTATCCTTTCTATGTAAATGAAATTGTTCGAAGAAATTCTCGAGAGAAGGAAAACACTGGGGTGTTAATAAGACGTCTGTCTATAGGCGGTGATCTCAAAGTGGGACGACAAAACACGGAGAGCATCACCTGGAGTGTATCGTTATTACCAGATTTCGCAGGATATTACAAAACACATCGGACGGTAGACGTCAGATGGCTCGCGTTAATTAAGCCACCGTTATGAAAAACGGTTGCGGAGAACGGCGGGGTCCGTCGCTCCCGGCAAAACGCCGTCTCGAAACCTGGGGTAGAACGATAGGAACACCGTGATTTATTTCACCATCACAACCGTACGAAACGCAACTGTGCAACTTTAATCCGCGTTAACGAGTCCGAGCGCATAATTTTCTCCGACGAAACGATTCGTCTCTTCTTCGCGCAATGTCTTGTTGGCACGAGGCATATGTAGGTAAAGTGATCAGTGTATCTCTGTTTTCTTTGATACGAGCATTTAACGTTTGGTAAAATATTGCAATGAAAAGTTTCAATTTTGAAATGTTACGAAGAAGTAAAAATTAATGACGTGTACCAATGAGAAACATCAAATTTTGGAAGTAGAAAAATGATTCGAATTATTGAATTTCACGAAGTAAGTTAGAATGGATATTATTTTTCGAAACGTCAAAGGAATGGAATAATTCAACATAAAATATCGACGACTCGCGTAAATCGCTACGTGACCACAAATTTACGAGGGAAACCGTACAAAATTACGGTATAAACTCAAAGAATACCAATTTACGCACGTCTGCCGCGTATAAATTGAATAAAAAGTGACGGCGAGGAAAAATCGGAAGGAAAATATCTCGCAAAAATTCAGTATAATCGTACTATTACCACTACATCTTAGCGAAACGAGATTCGAATGATACCCAACGTTAACGATTCCCGCTGGATGCTCTTGAATGGCTAATTGCGAAAGAGAGAAAATTACGAATGAAATGAAAGGAAAAAAAACTCGAAAGAGACAAAACACACATTCTCCTGAATTGCGAAAATCAAAAGAAATGGAACGAAAGGAAAATTCGAAGCAGAGAGAGAGAGGGAGAGAAAAAGAGAAAAAGAGACAAGAAGGAGTTTGGCGTTAATGAGCGTTGGCGCGCGCCACCAGTATCAGAGAGTGGCGCGCACGCGTGAAAAGAGGACGAGGGAGACGGTAGAGTAGTACGCGACTTATACGCGCGCGGAGAACGAAAACGGCAGCTGCAGCTGCGCACCGCTGCCACGCGCCCTCCGCCGCTCGACTCTCTTCGGATACGATTTTACAGGTCTCTCCTTCTTTCTTTATTTATTTCCTCCCTCCCTCCCTCCCTCCCTCCTCCTCCTTCGCCCGTCTTTCTTTTCTCCCCGCATCGTCCACCCTGCGACGTTCCTTTCCTCGTCGCACGAGCGCCACCCGTCTTCGCCCGTCCTTGTTCACGGCCGCGGTGACACGCACGCACACGCATACTCGGACACAGGGTCGTGCGCGTCCGAGAGGACCACCGGACTCGTCACCTGCACCTCGCCAGACTCCCAACGGTCCTACGGCCACCGTCGACACCTTGCCTAACTTCTCCGTCCACGGATGGAGAGGAGGAAGGGAGGGGGGAGACTACCGGCCGAATCCCGAGATTCGAATCGATTCCACGATACTCGTGTGATAACGCTCCCGAGGGATGGAGGGGACGGGGGAAGAATACTTTTCCGATCTCTCGAAGAATGGAGAAAAATTTGTCGATTCTATCGTGAAACGAGCGGTTTCGAATATAATGGAGAATAATTTGAAACGTATCATGAGAAAGAGATGGTAGAGAGAAAAATATGTCTCGTTCGAGGATTTATTTTTTTTTTTTTGATTGAGGAGTATTCTTGAAGCAATTTCATCGATAAATGAGGAAGAAAGAGAGAAAGAAAGAGAGAGATGAATTAGAATACCATTTTCCACGATACAGGTTGCGCGCGCGTTTTTCGGTCGGGTGGTGGGGATTCGAGGAGAGGCTGTGACGTAACGTGCGACAGTAAACGAGCTCCTGAGAGGCAGACAGGTGCAGAGACGCATTGGGCAAAGATGAATTCTGATGCACGATATTTCTTTCGCGCGTGCGTGTTCGGCCACGATTGAGCACGCGCCTCCTATCCCCTCCTCTCTCGCTGGAGAAACATCTTGAAAAAAGTGTGTTTATAAATTACGAATTATAAATTGCAAATTAAAAAAAAGTACCGGTATATGTACAATAAATGGAATAAGAACGGATACAAGAAGGAATACGTTGTATAATATCGGTTGTAGGGAAAAAATAAACGAGGTTGAGAGAGCGGATTGTCGTAAGTTGAAATTATAAGTTTATCCCTCCACTTTTCAAGAATTGCCACCAATTCCTATAAATAATATTTCTTACGTACCGTTTCACGTTCTACGATTGAAAATGTTTATGCTCAAGTTTAATCGGAAATAAGAACGCGTGGAAGGAGCATAGGAGAAGGAAGAAAAACGTCTGGGTATAATACTTTTAGTGCCTGTCTACATTCAAATCAAAATATATTCGCAAATGTAACGTTTCAACGTTGGCAGCTGCCGATCGTAATTGGTACCCTCGGAGGCCCGCATCCTCAAAGTGTCGACATGTATCTTGCATCGAAAATAAGAAGCCAATGAAAATGGAAAAAGAAAAGAAGAAAAAGAAAAAAGAGAGAGAGAGAGAAAAAAGGGACAAAGGATACACACAAGGCACGCGTCCCGCGATGTATCTCGGCCAATTAAAGTTTCTACAAAAATTTGCAAACTCGAACTCGATCGCGTGGAATACTTTTTTTCTTTGATGAATCGTTTTTTCTTTCTTTCTTTCTTTCTTTTTTTTCAACTCGAATCGCATCAAATCTTGAGAATCGTGCACGATATCGCGAAATTCTTGCGTGAAATTGCGTTTACTTATCCGGTGAATAATGATCGTCGAATAAGAATACGTACGAGTACGTGAATTAAGAAATTAATTGGATACGATTGGATATACTTTGGCGAAGTTTTTTCCCGTCCTCTCTCTCTCTCTCTCTCTCTCTCTCTCATAAAATATTGTATCTATTTGAAATACGTCGAAATTTTCTCTCGACGGGATTCGAATAATCGGATAATACGATTTCGTTTAAAGAGAAGAATATAAATGTAACTGGTTTTCGTAAATAATTTCGAATTGTTTCTTTTTTAAATTATTTTTACAATTTAAACATAATATTTCAAGATTAAGAAAGCCAATTTTCGAAGATTTTGCTTCTCGATTTTTATCTCTCTCTCTCTCTCTCTCTCTCTCTCTCTCTCTCTCTCTCTCTCTCTCTCTCGTTCGTTTTTAATTCAACGTATCTATCGAGAGAGATCACGATATACAGCATTGCTTTCCCCAACCTTGAAAACCCTTTTTCTGCTTCATGAGTAAATTTCGAGCGAGATCCACCTGCCGTTTTGTTTCCAACCAGGTTTCTCACAGCTCTCTCGCCTCTTTCCTTAACCTTCGTATTAACGAATAAAACCAACCCTCTTCCCCCCGTGAAAATTTTACGCTCGAAATTATAAATAATTTCGTTTTTCTTCCAGATGCCTGGCGGCTGTTCATCACCTAATAAAAAAAAAAAAAAAAAAAAATTATCCACGCGCGGTTTTCCACAAAGAAATTGAATTTTCTTCCGAGATGCCAAAACTTGATCTTATCACGGAAAAAGAAAAAAAAAGATTTCGTTTCGCCATTTCCTTTCCTATTCCAATAACGAGAGATAAGAAAAGAAATGAAACACGAGAGGATGGAGGTGCTAAAAACGTCGATAATCTCCGGTGAGTAATAACGAAGAACAAACCCCTCCGAGAGAAAGAAGGTTTGAAAAAGAGAGCCGCGGCAAAAGGAAAGAAAAAAAAAAAAAAGGGACGAGGGATGACGAGGGAGAGAGAGAGAGAGAGAGAGAGAGAGAGAGAGAGAGAGAGAGAGAGAGAGACAGAGACAGAGAGAGAGAGGTGAGCGCGAATCGAGTTAAGTGAAAGGGAAGAAGAAGAATGGAAGAAGAGAAGGAGGAGGAGGAGAAGGAAGAGGAAGATTTTGAAGATAACACCGGTATAGCGCGTCTCTGTTGAGGTTCTTAGCGCCGGTACCTCGTTAATTACACCTCGACCGATCGTAATTACCCCTCTGCCACATAATGAGTCGATTACCAAAGATGGGGACGGAAAGAAAGAAAAAAAAAAGAAAAAGGAAAAAAGAAAAACTTTTGCGTCGCCGTATTCATCTTCGATCCGAGAAAAAAGAAAAAGAAGGTATGCATTTTAAAATTCGCTCCATTTTTCCACATACATTTACTCGAACGAAACATCTTTCGTTATATCGATTTTTCATTTCGTATCATCGTCACGTTCGTAACTCGATATTAACGAACTTTGTTTCTTCGCAGGTTTCTGGAAAGTATGTAAGATAAAAATATATGTATCACCATTATTCCTCGCCGCAGAGAAGAGAATAATTTCGTTGGCATTGGAATAATCACGAGGAATTTTATCAGCGCGAGCGTATCTCGAATACCTATGTCTTTATCTCGAATTCCTCCTGAAATAAAAAGCGTTTATTTCATTATCGCGTGTCGAACGCGTGTGCATTTATTATCTTTAATATCTCCATAGTTGATCTATGAAGTTGAAGACGAAGAGAGTGAGCCGGGATCAAAGGTCATCGAGAGCGAGATATTGGTACGGTCGTACCTCCCCCCCTCCCTTCGCTTTACCTTGACATCTGCGCGTGCGCAATTCCTTTGGCGGGGAGCAGACGTTATTGTTTCGCGAAAATCAAGATAATTTTGTAATTTTGCATCCCCAAGGCTCGCGTATGTTTTTCCTTTTTTGCGAATTTGACGATCTTCTATCTTTTTTCTTCTCTATTTTATATTATGCGATTAAAAATAAAACTCTCTTATCCGCAGGAGGAGAGTCGCTATCCGATGACAGATGCCGGGGAGCAGACGTTATTGTTTCGTGAAAATCAAGATAATTTTGAATTCCCAAGGCATACGTTTTTCCTTTTTTGCCTCTTCTTTGTAAAAAAAACGAATACCACTGAATTTGACGAATTTCTTTGCGTTTTATATTATACGATTTATATTTATATTATACGATTAAAAATAAAACTCTCTTATCCGCAGGAGGAGAATTGTTATCCGATGACAGATGCCAGGAATGGGAAGAAGAGATATTTTTCCCGAAAAGAAGAGATCCGGAGGACGAAGTCGTAAATATTGTGGTTCGTAAAACAGCGTTCGACGAATCTTAAATTTCTCTCTCAAGATCGATCGAGAAGGAATGAAAAGCGACGGCGCGCAACTTATCCGATCGTTAATTTCTCCGTCGTTGTAAAATCACACGGCGGAGATAAGATATTTATCATTGACAGTTATTGTTATCTCGTCGCGATAAAATTTAATCGAGATCCTGTCCTTTTTTTTTTTTTTACAACCTGCATGCGTCATGCGATTTCCTGTTCCACGACGCATCCATCGTTTATCCATTCACGATATTCGCAATCGTGTTTTAGTTATCCACCGTTTATCCGTTAGAGAATGCACTGTATTCCGATCTTCTCTGCGTTTCGATGATATTCGACGATATTTCAATATATCCACCGTTTATCCATTAGAGAATATGTTGTAAAAAAAATATGTATTCCGATTTTTTCTGTATTTTGACAATCGACGCATTTACTGTTTATCCATTAGAAAATACGTTGTAAAAAAAAATATGTATTCCGATTATCTCTGTATTTCGACGATATTCGCAATCATCCACTGTTTATCTATTAGAAGAGGTTGTAAAATATGTATTTAAATTTTCTCTGCGTTTCGACACATCTATCGTTTATCTATTACAAAATACATTGTATTCTATTCTTCTCTTCGAATTTCGACGATATTCGCAATCGTGTTTCGATATATCCACCGTTTATCAATTAGAGAATATATTGTAAAGAAAAATATGTATTCCGATTTTCTCTGCGTTTCGACACATCTATCGTTTATCCATTACAGAATATATTCCGTTCTTCTCTTCGTATTTCGATGATATTCGCAATCGTGTTTATTCGTTAAAGAATACATTGTACTTCGATCTTTTCTGCGTTTCAATGATATTCGCATATTTCAACGTATCTACCGTTTATTTATTAGAGAATATTTGTAAATTTGTAATATTTGTTGTAAAGAAAAATATTCCAATTTTCTCTACGTTTCGACAATCGACGCATTTACTATTTATCTATTAGAGAATATATTATAAAGAAAAATATGTATTCCAATTTTCTCTGTGTTTCGACAATCGACGCATTTATTGTTTATCCAGAGAATATGTTGTAAAGAAAAATATGTATTCCAATTTTCTCTGTGTTTCGACAATCAACGCATCTACTATTCATCCATTAGAGAATACATTGTAAAGAAAAATATTCTAATTTTCTCTGTGTTTCGTCAATCGACGCATCTACTATTCATCCATTAGAGAATACATTGTAAAGAAAAATATTCTAATTTTCTCTGTGTTTAGCCAATCGACGCATCTATTGTTTATCCATTAGAAAATACGTTGTAAAGAAAAATATGTATTTCGATTTTCTCTCGAGCGTTTCGACGATCGACAATATCCGACTATTTATTTATTAAAGGATACGTACTTCTTTTCGATATGATATTCTCGATCATACTTCGACCATTTCCACTTTGATGGAAATCGATTTTCGAAAGCAGCCAAGTGTCAATTCTCGATAACCGGGAACAAACGATTCCCGGTGCGAAAGATTGGGGAAGAGGGGAGGTTTTGGCCGGCATTCCTGAACTGAAATAAGCGAGGGACAGATCCTGGAGGACAGATAGTCCAGTGGGAACGTGCGCTGTCCTTCGTGCCGTTGTTGCCCTTTGTTCGTTCACGTGAAAAATGACTGTGGCGAATGATCATCGCTGTACACACACGGATGAAAAAAGAGGGACGCGGGACGCGCGATAAATCTTTGCCCCGCGTTGCGAGTAAACGGCCGATCGCTTCTTACGCCTCGGTGACAAGAAACTACTACTCCGTGCTTTTTTACACGTTTTCACGTTTTAAAAGATAGCATTCTTATTTTTTTTTTTTTTTTTTTTTTTTTTCTCTCTCGTTTATCCACGAGAAAGTTGGATCGAGATCGTTTTATGCGATTTCTTGAAAGGCGACGACAAAAGACAGGTTGTAAATTGGTGATTTTCAACAGGACGAATTATGAAATTATTCGGAGTCGAGGAACGCCAGTTTGGGGGGGAAAGATAAGAGAAGAGACGAAGATAAATTTTCGTAATCGTGTAAAAAAGAAAAAAAAAAGAAATAGCGATTCAAGAAGGTAACAAGATAACAAGGTTCGATAACAAGCGCAATGATGACGTTTGTTGATTATGTAAATACAATAAACAACTTTTAACAACCAATTACGCAAGACCCACGTGGGTTCGAAAGGAGCAGCATCTACCCGATCGATAATTGCCATTAAGATTATGTAAAACGAGTTTTTAAACGGTAATTAACGAAATAATTAACGAAATAATTAAAGCAATTTAGACAGATTTAATAATAATAAATATCCATGCTTGGAAAGGATCCCCCCCCCCTCTCCTTGATTACTCATCCATTCAAAGCGTGGATCCACTTTGTACGTCGTACACAACCGAGAAATACGTTCGAAGTATCTTCCGCTTTTGCGACACTTTTCTTCGAGCGCTATCACCGATAACCACCGCCAGGAGTTATCCTTATCGAGAGTACAACGCGGCCACTGTGCGCGGCGCGATTCCAGTCTCGCGTAGTTCCTGGAACTAAGCGAGGCAGTGATAAACGCGGCAAGGTCGTGGTGGTGGCGGCGCGCGCGGCATGGGAAACGAACATGGCAACCCCCGTTCGGCTCCACGCCGCCTCGACGTGTCCAGGATCGTTAATCAGCGCAGCGCCCCGGCTACCATGGGCCCCGATAGAGCCGTAAAATCGTGTTCGTTTTGCGCTCGAAAACGCGTCGAGCCGCTATGCCTGTATTCATTCGCGTCTCGTGCCAACCTCGCGTCTCGCTCGCGGATACATACATACACGCAGCTTCATACATTTATTCACCGAGTAATTGCAACTTTACACGCGTGACACCACGCGAGGCGAGGACAATTCCCTCCCTTTCCCCTCCTTCCCCCCCCTCCTTTCTTTCATTTCTTTCATTTCTTTCGATCGTCGTCGAAAGCTCATCGTTTCGCGAAAAGCGAAATTATTATTCGACGACGCAAGTAAAAATGGTTTTCGGATCGATAAATTAGGAAGTGACGGTAGTCGGTATCGTTACGCGCGTAAGGCGGTATACGCGGTATATATAACACGAAACACAGAATCTCTATCGTGCGCTTTGTTTGGAGGAGGGGGTAATTAAAAACTCTTCGATAAAGAACTCGTACGCGCAGCTGCGAAACTTTGTTTCGGCGAGGAAAAGAAAGGGAAAAAAAATTCTTCCGATACAGAGGCGGTATTGATTATCGCCAATTTATCTTCGATCCTTCGAAGGTAAACCTGTTGTTGGAAACAATAATGCGCGGGGGAATATAAAATTTTCGAGCGATCGTATCCCTCGTATCCCCATCCAACCGCTCAATTTTCCGTCGAATATTCGAATATCGATAATTCTTCCTTCTTCCTTTTCTCTTTTTCTTCTTTTTCTTTCGATCAAACGACGCGACATCTGCGAGCTTAAATTCCACCGGCGTGTTTCGATATCTCGCGTATCTCGTGAATTTTCTAAAATCAGTTGCCGCCGCTTGGTTCCCGAGTAACGAACGAAAATATGGGCGCCAGGAATTCGCCTGCGAATCGCGAGGAATTCGGTGAACCTGCAACGCGGCATATGCTTCGGTACGTTGCTACCTTGATATATACCTGCTAAACTGTTCACGAGAGGGCATTCACGGGAGCGCCATATGCGTGGTCGATTAGGTTATGGGTGGCAACCCCACATGGTCTTTGGCGAGGAAGGAAGGTGGTGGCGCGCACGCATAAATTCCCTTCCTCTAGGTCGAGTGCTACCTGTGCGTTATTGTGTGGTGCGCGTGCGCGCACGCGCGCGCACGTCAGCCGGTAACGAAATGCCGACACGTGGAAATCGATATATTTCCAAGGTGGACCTGTGTATTTGCATTTTAATACTTCTTCACCATGTTATTTAAAATTTCATATTTATCATTAAATTTGTCATCGCTCTATTCGTCCTTCTTCCCTTAACAATATGCGTATCTTGTCTACTTCTATAGAGTGATTATATCGAGTTGGGAGTAAAAAAAAAAGTAAATATTCAATTATCGTATATCCTAAATTGGAAAATGATAATTATGCTCTTGCAACATTTTGCAGAGTTGAAGAGTACCATCTTGTTCGATCTTGTTTCGAAGTTTTTTTCCTTTTTTCTGGTTCTGGATTGTTTATTAATCCACTACGTTTTCATTAACGCAGAAAAGTCGATTCTCCCATCGACCTCGAGATATTTTGTTCAATCGAAAAAAAAAAAAAAGGTAAAATCGTAATAATTCTTCAATAGGAGTCTTATTATCGATCTTTCGATAACCAGACACGATCGTTTAATATTAATATTAATTACATGATAAATTCAAAAACATGGAATAATTTACTTTCATTCGAGTCACGCATTTAGTTACGTAATATAAATTCGTTATTCGACTCGAACAATGCGCAATTAGACTCGTCTGGCTCGACCAGTTGGACGATATTTTAAGACTTTGTTTTAAGATACTTGTAACAACGTTTTTGCATTTATTTTTCAAATACAACGCGATCTCTCTTCAGTGTTAATTTCACGATAATTATCGGTGATGTGGCCAGTTAGCCTGACCGACGTGGTTCAAGAATATAATTACGGAACAAATTGTCCATTCAAAGGTTCAAGGTAATAAAGCCATCACCGACTGAAAAATTTTCTTTTTGTCCTTTTCCTCCTCTCTTTCCCTATCTTTCTCTCTCTCTCTCTCTCTCCTCCCCTTCCCTTTCCTCGTATTCACCTTCCTTGTTACCTTACCTACCTCACCTCACCTTATCTCTTTTTCTTTTTTCGTATCTTAAAATTTTATCTCTTTCTCGTATCATATAATGATTTTTCAAAAAAAGGAAAGGAAAGGAAAAAGGAGAAATAAAATATTTTCGAATGTACAATTTGTCGGGGTATATATTTTTTATCGTAACGAAATTATATGGGAAAAAAAGGATCCCTGTTTCAAGGGTCGAGGATGTACGTATGTTAACGTCCTTGCGTCGGATCAGCGAAAATTAGTAGTTGGCGTAACGGGTACGCGAATGAGCCACACCGTTCACAGGGGCGTCATGTTCCTTGGAACAGGTTGCCATACCAAGAGAAGCTCTACGATGTTAATGGCGATACCTGCAACTTTGCGGTTAAAAATTTGTCGCGCGGTGAGAAGTACGAGGAAGACGAAAAATGCCCGACAGTCTCGTAAATCTTTTTACACCGATACCTCTCTCTTTCTCTCTCTCTCTCTCTCTTTTTACATCTCGCCTTTCACCCTGGTCCTTGAAGGAACCAGGAATTGCAAGGAAGAAAAAAGAAAAACGTAAAAAGGAAAACTTAGTTCGAGGCGGATCGTCGTCGATCTTTCCTTCGAAAGTATCGAAAAACTCGGCCGGTAACAGAGAGATACGATTATTAATAATAATTTCGCGAAATAACGAAACGAAAGAAAAAGAAAAGAAAAGAAAAGAAAAAAAAAATGAAAAAACTCGAGGAGAGAGTTTCGGTTTCGATGCCGTGGCGGTATCGGTGGTAACCGCTTATCACAGCGTTATCAGTTACATGCGAGTACCTGGATACAAGTTAGTCAGAGAGCACGTGAAAGCGCTTCTTTATCTGTCGAAAATCCGAACGCGAGACGAGACGACATTCGGCCGTCGTATATTTATCACGCAGCCTCGACTCGCTCGGTCCGCGCGCGTACTTATACGCGCGCGTGGGGAGAAACGTCCAGTGGCCCTCGTCGAGTGCCCCTTACGCGCGCCGCTTTTTTCCAACAGAGAGAAAGATAGACGCGCATAGATGGAGAGAGAGAGAGAAAGAGAGATAAGGAGAAAGAGATAGAAAAAAAGGAGGGAGACAGAGCGCCGGTAAAATGAAAAAAAAGGAGAAGAAGAAGAAGAAGAAGAAGAAGGAACAGGGCATATACCTGTTCCACGCGTGAGCGCGCACACACACGCACTCACACGAGGTTAGGTCCACGCGCGCTTACGTGCGCGCGCACGTCCTCCCCTTAAGCACGAGGCCCGGCAAGCACGCGTGCGTCCTAGTACACGCACGCACGCTTCGTACGTAGCGGATAAAAGGGAGCGGTGGTGGGGAGAAGCGAGTGGATGGATGGGGGTCGGCGCGCGCCACGGCGCGAGGGTGGGGGGAACGGCTCACGTCTTCCACCCCCTGCCCTCCTCACCACCGCCGAAGTTCCCGTAACACCGCTGCCCCCAACTTGGGCCCACGTATCCTCCATACGCGCCCCCTCGCTCCACTCGCGCCGCGCCCTCTTTCCTGCCTAGCTTCTCTCCTCGCCCGCCACCACCCCCTCCTCTCCTCGTTCTCCTCCTGCTCCTCGTCGTCGTCCTCTTACCACTCGTCTTCTTCCTTCCTCGCCACGCATCTTTTCTCTCTCTCTCTCTCTCTCTCTTTCTCTCTCTCTGTTTCTCTCTCGACCGGCTTCTCTCTGGACCAGCTTTTCTTTCTCCCGATATATAACTGTTCAAATTTCGATCCCTGAGACACACAGGCCGGTCGGTGGGGATGCGGACCCTTCTTGCTTGCGTGCCAGTGTCTCTCACGCGTGCACGAATTTTCGGGGATCGTCGCGAGCCCCGATTTCTTTTTTCTTTTTCTCTTTTGTTTTTGTTCTTTTTTCTTTTTTTTCTTTTTCTTCTTTAATATCCAAGAATCCTTCGTTCCAATATTTTCCACGATCGCACAGATACGGATAACGTTACGTTTACGCGTAACGTCTCGCGGTAAGAAATCGTGATGCTATTCCGAATTTTTAATAAACGCTTTGTTTCGCAGGAGGAGCGGGAGGAGGGGATAGCTCTCTGGGGAGGGAAATTGCGTTTAAACAATTAGGTGAGAAATAACGGAGAAGTATTGAAATCTACTCGGAGTAGAAGGATGAAAACGAGTGAGAGTGTCGAGTGTGTTATCAGTGATCGATAACGGCGAAATAGATGGCGGAAAGAGGACGAAAGAGGGCGATTCACGAAGATGAGAATCTCGGGCGTTGTAGGGCCTTTGGATGGATGGAGGAGTGGTGGGGATGCGGACAGGGGTATGAGGCGCTGCAAGCCAGTAGGGTGGGAAAGAGGGGGAGAAGATGGGGGTTTAGGGCCCGAGATCGAGTATGAGGCCTTATGGAGGGGATAGGCGCGTGCCCGCCCTGGCTATATAAGGCCTCGAACCCTTCTTAGTAAGGCATTTCGGGAGCCAGATCCGTACCGTGAGCGTCAAGGGTGCGGTTTTTTTTCAAGTTTTTCGACTTTACCGATCTCTCGTCACGCGTATAAATCGTGCGATTCGGACGTCTCGTTTATTTCTCTCACTTTTTCGAGCGACGTGTTGTTCCTCGTGTGTTTCCTATATTTCTCTTCCCCCTCTCCTTTCTCTCTCTCTCTCTCTCTCTCTCTCTCCTTTCCTCTCCTCAACGTTTCCATAGCACGCGTCGCAGCCGAATTGCATCCCGAGTTGTGAGAGAAGGAGGGAGATTATTTTCTTCTCCTTCTTCTTCGGTCAGAGAAAGAAATTGACTCGTGATCTCGTGATCGTGATCGATATCCATACTCGAACAGTTCCGTTCCGTCCCGTCGTCCCGTGCAGTTCTGATCACACATCGAACCGATTATTATCACCGATCGGAGGATTCCATTGGTCAAGGTCATCTGGCACGCGCTCCAGCGCGCTCGTGCTCTCCTCCGTGCTAGCAGGAGGGGAGTCGAGGGAGGAGGAGGAGGAGGAGGAGGAGGGGAGGGGGAGGGGGAGGGGGGGATCGAATCAGTGATATGACCTTAGTGGGAACGGCCAAGGAGGAAGGATCGAACGCATTGCCCGTCATGTTGAGCGTGCAGCAACAGCACCACCACCACCACCACCACCACCACCACCACCACCCCAATCATCTTCATCACCACGGCTCGCCGTCGGCCGTCGGCGGGCAAACCCACAGGGGGAACGTGATCGTCTCCACGGCGAGCACCGTCCAGGCCAACGACATCAAGATCCAGCAACACGGATCCTGCAAGCGGTCCAAGATTTACGGGCAGGGGGGCGGCGGCCCGTACGGGGCCGTGCCCCATCAACCCGCCTCGGTCGCGAGGCGGAACGCCCGGGAACGGAATCGCGTGAAGCAGGTGAATAATGGATTCGCCACGTTGAGGCAGCACATACCGCAGAGCGTTGCCCAGGCGTTGGGCGGGAGCACGGCCGGGACCCACGGTGGGTCCAGGGCCGGTAGTAAAAAACTGTCCAAGGTCGAGACGTTGAGGATGGCGGTCGAGTACATAAGGAGTTTGCAGCGCCTTTTGGAGGAGCACGACACGGGCTCCGACGTGTCCTCCAGCGTGTCCTCCCCCACGTCCTCCTCCTCCTCCTCCTCCTCCTCATCCTCCTCCTCCTCCCCCCCTTCCTCCGCCTCGTCCACGTGCAGCTCCACGAACGGGATCGGCGTCGAGCCGTCCTCCCTTCGTCATTCCTCCCCCGAGCTCAGACTGCGCGGAAACGTGAACGCTGGCAACGGCAACGCTGGTGGCAGCAACAACAACAGCGGCAGCAATAATAACAGTAATAACAACGAGATTCGACACCACGGCGGCAGCAACGATTTGCATCGGCACCAACACCTGAGACAAAATCCAAGCCCGACCTTCGTCCCGGCCCCTTGCTCCGAGGCCTCGAGTTCGCCCACACCGAGCTTCGTTTCCGAGGCGTCGTCAGCTGGCAGCCAAGGGTACGCCACGTCGGGCACCCTTTACGCCGCGCATTCCGATGGCTACGACAATTACGAGCCCATGAGCCCCGAGGACGAGGAGCTGTTGGACGTCATCTCTTGGTGGCAACAAAGTCAATGAGATATTTGGCCAAGTTTCATATATATATATATATATATATATGTGTATATAGAGGTTAGTGTCTGTCCTTGTTGTCTCTATTTTCTTTCTTATCTTATCTCTCTCTCTCTCTCTCTCTAGATTCGATCGAAATTTCTCTCTCTTTCTGTAGATTCGTTTCGATGTTTATTTTTCACGGTGGAAAGAGGGAAGGGAGGGAAGAGATTATTACGTCGCGCTCTTTGAGAGATATTTTATTCTTTCTTTCTTTCTTTCTTTCTTCCTTCCTTCTTTTCTTCTCCTCCTCTGAAAGTTTTTCTCACCTCCCGCGCTTCTCAACGATCGTAAATTTTGCCCCGTGAGGTAACATCCGCGTTACCTTACCGAGGAAGTTCAAAGAAATTTCCGACCAGATTTGTGACCTTGCCCCGGCACAATGCAAGCGCGCGACCCCTCGCTGAAACTCCCGGCCATTCAAATCGCAGACTCCATTCAGAGGGGCAACGGAGAGTATACATTCGAGAAGCGACGCTTTTGTCCCCCGATTTCTTTCACCGTGCAACCAACACGCGTGTGTCGCGCAGCCCTCGTGTGTGTGTGTGTGTGTNGCCCTCCCCCTTCATCTACCGTTTTTTCCAACCCTCCCCTCTTTCCTCCCCGCCTCACCTTTCAACTTTTCGAATCGTACGAATTTTCGCCCCCTTTTTCGTCTCTTTCCGTCCGAGAAGACGAGAAATTTTACCATTTTCCTCTGCGAGAGATCGCTCTCCAACCCCTCCCTCCCTCCCCCCCCCCGCCCTCCTCCCCAAACAAAATTTACTCGAACTCTCCCGAAATTTCTCTTCTTTCTCCTTTTTTAAAATTAAGCTCAATTTCTCCTCTTTTTTTCCTTTTTTAAAAATTCCTTTTTCCCTTTTTTAAAATTCGGTTTTAAAAAAAACTAAGCTCTTACTACTGCTACTAATAATAATTAAGTAATTAAGTAATAATAATAATTAATGGAAATGGGAAATATTATTATTATATTTTTGTACGAGTTTGTACGAGTAGTATAATCGAATAATTATTCTAATTTTCTTTTTTTTTTTTTTAATCAAACTCGAATCACACGGACGTAAGAAGTTTTCGAAAAGAATTTCTTCTCGAAGAAATTCTTCGTTCCTTCCCGCGGATTTTCATTATTCCCATCTTGCTCCGTTTTCCCGTCTTGTTTGCCTCTCCTCTCTCTCTCTCTCTCTCTCTTTCCTTCCTCCCTTGACAAGAGACGATTTCGTCTGCCGCGTTTAACCTGAATGCATCTTTCAGGATATTCCAGTCCCTCCCTCCTTCCCTCCCCTTTTGTGGGTTTTTGAACCGGTACGCTATTCTTCCGTCTTTCTCTTTTTTCTGTCTCTTCCCTCCCCCCTCCCCTCTCGTTTCGACCGCCGCCTCGTTCTTCGATCTCCTCTTCTTCTTTCACCGCTGTACCCACGAAGAAGCGAAGGAGCGAAGTCCCTTCTTCCCTTCTGGTAAAAGTAAAACTTAGCCCTCCCCCCCCTCCCCTTCCTCCTCCCTTACCTGAAATCATCCCCTGTTTCACTGTATACGTGTATATACCTGTTGTGCAGCGTTAACCTTAACCGATCCTCGGACCAAGCCTTCTTACAATTTTATAATCCCCTGATACACGGGGAATGAAATTGTGAACTTGTTGCTACGGCGTTTTTATTTTTATCTATTTCTCGATTTCTGTTTCGATCGGGCGAGAGAGAGAGAGAGAGAGAGAGAGAGGGGGAGGAAATATAATTTATAATTTAACTGGAAATTTTCGAATTTACGAGATTTTTATTACGAGATTGAAGAAAGAAACAGCTTGTTCTAAATCGATGTTAATTTAAATTAAACTGGTGAAATTTTTACCAATTGTTATTCACGTGTATTAAGAATTTGTTATTAAGGATTTTTATCTTTTAAGAAAATGTAATGCGATGGTGAAAATGTTTGTTTCTCTTTTTTCTTTTACAGAAACAATGGGGAATGGCGAGAAAATGAAAAAGCGACGAACGCTGTTCTAACACTGTGATCTAGTCATATATTATAATGTTTTAATAATTGTAATTTTTACGAATGAGGACAAATCGTTTAGATTAGAATTATAGATTAGAATTCGTTTTCTTTTTTTTTTTTTTTTTTTTTTTTTTTAATTAAAAGTCGAGTTAATAATATGTCACATTACGAGAAACGGGTTTATCGAGAGAAACGTTCATCATTAGGATAATGATGTAGAAAAAGTGTCGCAAGGACGTTAAGGAAAAGATCAAATATTTGAACAACCATCCTTGAAGGATGGAGCATTCCAGAGTGCCTTACGAAGAGAAAATTGTTTTATATTTTTAAATAAGTTAAATAAGTTAACAGATTAGGCTGATTGCGCACGAAAATAACTTTTTATTATTGTATTTCTATGCTATATTTTTTAGAAAGGAGAAAAAAAAATATTATTATTATTATATTCCGGTATTAACAAAAGTTTGGAGAAGGAAAAAAAGGATGTAATATAAAACGAAGTTTATATCGAACGTTAATACTGGAAGAACTGATTTGTTGTAAATTTTATACAAATGTTATTAACGTTTTGAGATGTTGACAATTCGATGGATACTGAAAAAAAAAAAAGCTTCGTTAAAGTTTATTTATATATCGATTCGAATAATTATTTAAATATTTTCATGAAATTGTATAATATCGAGTTGTATTATAATAACCTGTAATATTATTGTAAATATTGTTTATAACGAGATTATTTTGATAATGAAATGGGATAGAATTCATTCAACGTTCACATTGGATTAAAAAAAAAATGGAAAAAAAAAAATGTTGAAAAAGTTTTATCAAACTCGTGCCTCTTAAATATATATATATATAAATATACATATATATATATATATAAAATAAACAATAAATCGTTAAATATATTGAACAACGTTATATCAGATTCTCATTATTCCCCTTGTAACGTAACGTAATCTTCTTTTCTCGCGAAATCTTCCTTACCGATATATCTCTCGTATCGTATAAATCGAACGCGTATTACGATAGTTGAACCGTGCCGTGTATAACGCGAGATGAAAACAAAGAACGATTGAACGGAATAAAGAACGATTTTCTTTGGACAAGTGTAAAATATTGATTTATGAATTCGAATTACGGTCGATAGAAATTACGACCGTAGTGTCGGAACAGTTGACAGCGAAGACAGGTACGATTTGTAGATTCTTGCCGGGCCGGGCCGAAAGAAAATTCCTTGACAATTGTTCATTGTTGCATGATAACGGTACCCAACGTTTTTCGATCGTGAAAAATTGATCTTCAATAAACAAATCGCAACAAGTGGTATTGTTTCTTGTTCAGGTAGCCACAGGTTACTAACCTAACCTAACCTATTCTAACGGATCCGAACAGAGTAGTCCTAGGTACAAATCCCTAGAGGATAGGCATCGATCTTCAAGTTTGAAGATAACGGAAAATGATATTTAAAATTTTTAAATCGTTTTCCTATCTTTTCTTTTGTTTAAAAATGTTATAAACATCGAGGAAATAAACGGGATTGCGGTGATCGTAAAACTACTGAAAAATCTGATCTTTGTGAAGCACAAAGAACGATATTATTTATCGGCCTTCTATCTTGTTATCGCCACGTTTGGTCAATCATTGCCTTGATAGGAAAAGTAAATTCACGACACAAATCGGGCATTGTCGCTCGATACAAAGCCGCCTTTTCGTTTCCACCATTACGCCAGCAGGTATTTCGACACTTCTCGACAAATTTTTTTTTTTTTTTTTTGCCTCCGATGGCTGTATAATTTGAAAAAAAAAAATTCATCATTTTACAAATCCGCCTAAAATTTCCAGGATCGTTTGGTTTCTTTTTCTCTAGATTTCTTTTTTTTTTTTTTTTTTTTGTTAAAAGGGATATATCAAGGATCCGAGTTTCTCCTTTCTCTCTTTTAAAATCTATATTTATCGTTTAAAATAAAGACACAATTTGTGACGCGTAATTTACACATGTGTATATATATATATATATACACATTTTACGTTGACCACAATTCGCGCGATCCACTCAACGATTCACCGATTTCGCTTGATTTACGTTCTCTGCGGTCTCTCGAAAAACCGAGGAACAACGAAAGAAAGAAGTTCGAGCGTTGGAAAAGTTACCGCGAATCCCGGCTGGTTATTTGCTCTGAAACCGCAAAAACGGGGAGAAGACTCCGCCCTTTCTCACCGCACTTTTAAAAGTGTCGCGAAAGAAAACACGTTTTTCAAGAGCTGTATCATTCGAGGATCGTTAAATAGTGGAATCATGGAATAATATTGTCGAACATAACGCTTAACCGTTATTGCTTATACGTTGTAGCTCGCGGCGGAAAAGTATTTGTCGAAATAATTGTCGATCGAATTGCAAAACGAAACGAAGAATTGGATCGAGTAAATCTCAAGAATCGAGAAACTTTAGAACACGATGAATTTAGAAAATTGATCGAATCGGTATTTATTACGTTAGAGGGGTAATGTAGGCACGCGTTACTTGGAAACGCGACGGTGAGGCTCGAGTAAATCCTCTTATCCGCATCGATGACGCCCGACCAGACGAGGAACACGAGGATGAACGGCGAGGAGAGTCGTCGAGCCGCGTACGCGGAACGATCGAATCGCGGACTTGCCTTACCGGTGCAACGAGTCGAAAGGACCAGCTTCCACGGGGCCTACGTTGAACACACGGATGCAGATCCGTCTAGCCGGCAACGACGATCTCCTTGGAAAGGAACAACCGACAACACTCGTCGCGCCTTGTTACTACCTCTCCAGCCCGCGTTAAATTGGATTTAAATTTCGAGATTTATAACACACGGCGACAAGAGAGGCCCCTCTCTTCGAGGAACTCTCTTCGCACTCTCTTCGCTTTCTTTTAATCTTTTAACGCGCGTTGTAGCGTTGTAGCGTAGAGGAGGGAAAAAAAAAAAAAAGAAAGAAAAAAAAAACAACTTAGACGATCGTGTTCCTTTCGATCTT